TAGGTCCAGTTTATATGCAAAAATAAATATAATTAAAAAAACGCTGCTTCCATAAATTGTTTTTCTAACATCCTCACCCGAACGAAAGTCCTGCGTACGCCACTGCTTATAGGACACATATTTTAGAAATTAAAAAATGATCTTCGACAGACATTAGAAAAAAGCTTTATCTACCTAACTACAAAATTTCGGTATCTCGATTCCAAATATTCAACTCATGATACCTAGAACCGATAAGCATATTTTTAATCTTCGGCGCGGCGCGTGTACTACTCAATCTCTCTTATCGTACCAATTCACAAGGTTTTGCAAACTCTAACGTACCCGGACTTGCGTAACATAAATGAGATATGTGTGATTGTAAAATACCTGTCTTAAACGTATTCAGAGCCATTTGTGTATAATATCCTTAATAGCCTCCCTTAAATTAACGTGCTCTATTAAAGCATGTAATTTAGATTTTATTAATAATTTTCGTTCGGATGTTAACAACATGTACATATACAAATCGTTTGTAAAAGTCTCTCATCTCTAGGATCTCCAAATTTATCAATAAATCTATCTTTTATTTCATTCCAACATTCGGGTGATTCTATCGTTAAATCGTTAAAGCCGCGAGTCACTGAGAGAGATTAAGTTAAACGGTCGTACCTTTACTCTTCTTCCGGGAGAAAATTATACGAAATGGAAAGGTTAGGAGTGGGGAGAGGATTGAGTAGGGAAAAGGGTTCAGTGTGAGGAGAAGACGGAAGTATTTGGAGGAGAATACGTCGAAAATAGGTGGCCCACCTCTGAAGCGATAAGTGAGCACTCGGGCTAAAGGGACAAGTTACAGATGAGCAAATGGGAGCGGCTCATTATAGATGGTGTCAGGGCTTTCGGAAACGGTCGTTTGGTTTCAGGACAAAGTAGGAGAGTGTCGAGATGGTGGGGTTTACGTGGCCTGATACTAATGATCGGAGATTTGCCGCGAATGAGATTGCAGCCTCAGTGAAAGAAGATAAACCGGTTTATTTCATAATTTGGGTGTTTCTGACGAACCAAGGGTAGTTTAGTACGGAACGAAGGATCCGCATGTAGGTGCCTTGCAGAAGTTTCAGGAGGTCGGGAAGGGCGCATCCTCAGGTGGGAATGACGTAGGAACAAATGCTCTTGATCATTGCGTTAAACGCACGGATTTTTGTTTGTTGGGAGATGGAATTATTTCGGAAGAAAAGATTGAGTGCGGTGAATGCACCTATGACCTTGGAACGAGTGGCTGAGATGTGGTGCCGCCAGTTTAGGGCTCTGTCGAAGATACGGAGACTTAGCAGATGTAACGAACATGAAATTCCCAGATGGGTGAGCAGATGATGACATCATTGAGCTATACTATAATTAACTGGTGTCATTAATCGTTAAAATGAGGTTGGACTTCCTTTAAAACCGAAAGACATCAGTGTGAATTGTTATAGGGAGCCCTCGGGTGTGCTAAACGTGTTAAACTGCCTTGACTCATAATTTAACGGGACCGGAGGTCTAAGATGATGAATATCGTAGCCAGATCAATATCTCGGATATCGGATGACGGACGGTGGAGTAAGGTCGTCCTTGGTTGAGCGTTGACCCTTCGATAGTTAACGCAAAAGCAGAGTACCCTCCTCTTTCGGGACGATAACATATCAGCTATAATTAGAGGTGGTGTGCTCGATGATCTGGATCACCATCCTTTCCATTTAGATCAAACGTTGTTTCGCGTCGGAGCAGCGATACGGCTGGATCCGGAAAGGCTTCCCTTGGCGTAGACCAATGCAATGTTTGGTGGCCTTAGTGGTGCCATTAGGCGTTTCCTCCCTGAACACGTCTCCGAATTTGGCGAGCAGGCGCGTTCTGAACGACGTCGGTTAAGTTTGACGGTGGTCCATCAGTTTGAGGGGGGCGCCTGGGGTAAACGGTAGTCCGAGCGTCGGTGCGTAAGTCAGAGATGACCTAGGAGGAGCTCGTTCTGTAGGTTTCGTACCACGTTGCATGTAGACGTCTTGGCTACCAATGGTAGTGGCGATGTTCTGAGTGCCTAGTACGGGCAAAATGGTTCTCTGTCAGCCAACTTGAGGCAGTCTAGTCTTGGACGAAACCCCGATGTCGATGAAGAGCGCGCACAAACTTTCCACCTACGGTTACCATGATTCGGAGCAGATAGTGGCTATTATTCATGCCTCTTATGGAGGGGTCGGTCTCTTGGCGCATTAGCCTGGAAGGTAGCTAATCTTAGTCCTGCGGTATCCATATCCTGGGACCAAGGGCCTCCATGTGGGCCTGAATCAGTTCATCCAACGGTGGACGGTCCGTGGTCACGAATACGATCGTGACTTTACTATCGCAAGATCTGTCCATCTGCTACGTAGGTGGATGGGAGCCTTGATGATTTGGGGAGAGGGGTCCTTAATGAGATTCGAAATTAAGTCTGGATATCCTCCTCCAGTTGCGGGAGGCTTACCCCACGTTGGGCCCTACAAATCGTTACCGGTCGTCTGGGGTTATCAGCCCCACTGATAGTCCGCTCGGTTGGTAGACCGGTAACAATTTCGAGGATCTAGGTTTCTCCGTCGTTTCACTTCGTGTGAGATGATTAAAATAGGCGCTTATAAATAGGAGGACTGAACACTTAGTAGCACAGATGAAATTTCATTTTGTATCCGTAATTTTTTATTTCCAAAATAAAGTGTTAGTTTTCAAAAATTTCCAGGGATTAACACCCTAGATTTTACAGACTAATACAGAGAAATTCAATTTCGAGACTTATTTGTTTATATGATTAGAAACATATATAAACACAACTACGGTTTAAAAGATATGCTCCAATGCTACAACCTACATACAATGGGAGTACCAAAAAAGATTTTTTTAAATTGATCAACTTTCTTCACAACTGATTTTTCGTTGGTTTCTTTTGAAAATGTTATGTGTGTCTTATTTTAATAAAAAATAAAAACATTCACGCCTTTATTTGACTAAATATAAAGTGTAATAATCATATTGTAAAGTAGCAAAACTGGCGAACAAAGGTAGGTGCTTTCAGAGGAGAACGGTTATTCTCCGAATTGGAAAAACTTTGAAGGCCTGGATTTCCGAAAATAAATTTTTCAAAGTTTTTGGCTAAAAACATGTTTTTGATAAATACTTTAAGTATACTATCTATGTATTTTTTCATTTTCGATAAACTGTTGATGTGTTATCGAATATTATCAAATAATTAAGAATCTATGTAGTGCTTCACTTGAGAGCTATTTATACATATATGTGTAATTGTTAAAGTACTTACAGAATTGTAACTCAGGTAGGTAATACTTTAAGAAAATAATACTTTTTCACCTGTAACCGCTTTCATATTATTTGCTTGTCCTAGTTACAAGTAACAGATATTTCTGTACAGCATGCGCTTTCCCACAATCTTATTCTAATGTGAACAGGCGCTCGACGCGTGTGACCTCAGTAACAAATTTCTGTTCGCTCGAATTTCAGTTCTTTCTAATGGCGCTATCCGCTTTTCTTTAAAAAGTTTATTTCAAATGTTATTGATGAAAGAACATATTTTTGCACTTCTATTGTTTAATAAAAAAATTTGCAGGAAAAACCCGCTGTGGCATTTTGATATTTCGTTCTACATACCTCTCCAAACACATTTCACAGGGAATCAATCAAAAATTCAATAGGGGTTGGTAAAAGGTGCACAGGTATGGGAAACCTTCTGCAGATGATTACCGGGAGGACAAGATGTTTACCTCAAATCCAGTAGCGAATTATCCATAAGGCAAACTAGCCACATGCCTAGGGCGCAAGGTTAGAAAGGGGTGCGCGCGGAAGTTTTTAAACTAAAAAAAAATTTGCAAAGTATATGACCAACAAAGGGACGTCAATGCGTCTCTGGTCAAATCAAATATAAATTAAAGCTTGGTTCCGGAACAATTACAACTAGCTCATGTTGCAATATATGAAGGTTAATTTATTTTCTAACAAAAAAAGTAACTAAAGTTCATAAAGAGAATTACATAATTAAAAAATAACAAAACAAGCACATGGTTCTCAAATCAAATATATTCCAGACACCTAAGCAAAAAATTTGTGGTACTTAAGAAATCGGTCGTAGACGTCTTTAGTCTACGTTCGGAGGAGAAAAACCTCGAGGCCAGCGGAAGAAATACATACCAGCCGCTTCAAAACAACGACAAAATCTTTGTAAGTAGACCATAAATCCAATTACTAGAATCAGGAGAGGTAAAAGTGTAGGAACCAGCCAGTTACACGGACAATCGTCTGAGAGATAAGTTATCAAACAAATTTAGATAATAAATCGAAAAAAAACAAAAACCTTACAAGTCATATCTCTTTTCCAAGTTTCCACGGTACTTCCCAAAGCTTTTATACCTACCCGAAGGTAATTATACTTCGCTTTCAGGACTATATTTTCGATGAAAAATCGTTACTTGTCATTTCGATAATATCACGTCCGGAAAAATTTTTGTTCAAATAAAGACTCCCTAGCGTATTCTACGAAACAGTCAGCATGCCTAACCCCTTCGAAGTTTCTATAGTTCGAAGTTGGAAATACATTTGATTCAACACGCATTAATAAATCTTGAAAGTCATCAAAAGTATGAAATGACTATTCTTTCAATGCTGTCTTTCAATTTTTGATATATTGTTTTAGGATAGGATGCTTATTTCAACTTATTGTTTGTGACAATAATATGTTATTTATCATTAGTTATTAAAAATACATACAGTACTTTACTGGTTTAAGCTGACAAGTATTTAATAAATAGATAAAGATTAATTTACTTATTTTAATAGATTTAATGTTTTTTTAAGTAGCTTTAATGATTTTTTATCACAAAGTTATAATGTATACATCGCATACGTCATAAATAAAAAAACCAAACAATTGTTAACAGAATAATACTCAAAAAATTGAAAAATGGATCAGTCACTCGTGTGACAAGATAAGCGAAAAGCAAGTAGTATAAAAGCAGCAGAGCTATTGAAGAATTCATGAGAAAGATGAAGTTCACAATGCTAAAACTCGTTGTTGTTTTATTGTTGGCTGGAATAATACCTAGCTATGCCCAACAGGTAAGAAAAATATTCGTTTTTTTATTTTAAAGTATCCGTCGGCTGAATTACCTGTTACTGCCACTATGAGCGCCCGCCGTTATTTTAGTCGTTTACAAAAGCGAGGCGGAGTTATAATTTTATTTCGGTAAATTTCACTAACTTAACCTAACCTAACCTTAACCTTTAATGCATTAGACACTTAGCCCATAATATTTTTAAACAATTTTATACTACCAATTGTACATGTCAAACAAAAACTTAATGGCCATCGCATATCATTTCAATGTATGTAAGAAAATGTACATTTAAATGTACACATTTAGTCCCACCCACTTTCTTCCCTTTTGTTTTCTACCACCTTGAAAGCGTCAACTTTTAATTGTATATTATCTTTAAAAGAAAACTTCTTGGATGTCGAAAGGAAAACCGGTCGTTAGTTTCATCTTTCAATTAGAAATTTTAATAGTCAGCTAATTGCGGAATATTAAATTAAGGGACCAGATATATCTGTTGGTACGATTTAATTGCAAGACAATTTTTTTTCGTTTTCATTCCTCAATATCTTTTAAAGTGGGATGAAATTTGAGAAAACGTATCCGTATGTATATGCGTCAAACAAAAACTTAAAATGGTCATAACTTATAACTGATTGTAATTAATGTTTAGACCCGTGCGGCGATTTGGAATTGTTTAGTAGCAACTCAAATACATCAAATTTGCTAATTTTTAATTAAACAGTAAACGTAAGCATCCGGAACATCGAAAGTAGCATCACTTGTTAATTTCATCTTTCAATTACGTTTTTAAATGGTTAGCTAGCTGAAAAAAAATAAATTATGGGAGCAGATGTATATCTGTATGATTTGATTGCAAGACAAAAACGCTCTTTTTTCAGTCTTCATTTTTCCATACATACGTTAATATCTTTTAATAAAATCGGATGAACTTTCCACAGAAGTACTAGTCCTTGGGCATATAAAACGATTGCCTTTATGGCATTTCACGACTAATCTGCGGCTAATTCAGATATGGACATATAACAAATGCACAGACAAACATACGCTAGAATACTATTAATTACGCAATGCGCAAATTCAAAAATTCACCATATTTAAATTCACTATATTTAGTTTTATAGCTAGTGAAAATTTAGGAAATAACGCAAATTTATACAAGACATCACCCAGCAGGAGCTACAGATGAAGCCCTGGCGCTTCACACCTTAGGCGCAGTTTCTCGTCAGCGAGCAGGCACGCGTAGTATTCAGCGGGGTATCAGTATTACTGATATTACGACTAAAACTTATTGTTATAATAAATATTATAAAGACAGAAAAGAAGTTAATAAACAGTAAGGACACAGGGAACTGTGTGATACACAGCAACCTATTTATACGAAAATTTTCTCTAATAAAGAACGGAACAACGTTTCCTATTCAGCATCAGTAACTGACTGAACCTATCTAATCCAATTAAATGTATTTTTATGCGAATCATTCATGTCATTTAAAAACTACGTCGAGAGTTTGCCACGCACTGTATTGCAATTTACAAATTATTGCGCTACGTGTTAAATAAGTTTACGTCGTGTTAGGTCATGTCAGGACAGATCACTTCAAGCTCCAAATAATTATCCATATAAACTATGAGGTTGTGAATACTAATCCATCTTAGCTGATATGACGTAAGTAATAATTGGTCGACAGTAGAAACAAAAAATATATTACTTAAGTTTCTGGAATAATAAGAAAGAGGTGTCTAGTCTTTTCCGAATAGGAATTATTTTCCTTGTTTCTATTTATGATTTACACCTATTTTTTAATTTTTCAGAATAATTACATAACTACCGGGTTTGGAGCACCAGTTTCCTATAAGGATGCGTCCTTAACAATTGGTCGTCGTGGACCATTATTACTGGAAGATACAGAATTTATCGATGAAATGGCACACTTTGACCGAGAGCGAATACCGGAAAGAGTAGTGCATGCTAAAGGTGCAGGTGCATTTGGTTACTTTGAGGTCACCAACGATATCACTCGGTACTGTGCAGCCTCTGTATTTTCAACAGTTGGAAAAAGAACGAAAATCGCGGTTCGGTTTTCCGTAGCTGGTGGTGAAAGAGGTTCGGCGGACACTCGACGAAGTTCACGTGGTTTTGCCATCAAATTTTACACAGAAGAAGGAAATTGGGACCTTGTAGGAAGTAATTTTCCAATATTTGCTATTCGAGATCCCATTCTAACCCCCAGTATGATCCATGCCCAAAAGAGGCATCCAGCAACCTTTCTTCCAAACAGCGACATGCAATGGGACTTTTTCACTTCGAGACCGGAAACAACTTATTTGTTACTTTATACGTTCTCCGACAAGGGAACTCCTGATGGATACAGATTTATGGACGGTTTTGGAGTTAATACGTTCAAACTGATTAATGCCAGCGGCCATCACGTTTATTCTAAATTTCATTATTTATCAGATCAGGGTTTGAGAAACTTAACGGCAAGGAGAGCTCAAGAACTTACAGCCGAAGATCCCGAATATGCTATAAGAGATTTGTATAATGCAATTGGATCCAGTAATTATCCATCATGGACATTGTACATTCAAGTAATGACCGACGAGCAGGCAAGGAATAGTAGTTTTAATCCATTCGACGCCACAAAGATATGGCCCGAAGATATATATCCTTTAATTCAAGTAGGCCGATTAACATTGAATGAAAATCCTACGAATTTTTTCCAAGATGTCGAGCAAATGGCCCTGTCTCCATCAAATTTGGTGCCTGGAATCAAACCTTCGCCCGATAGAATTTTACAAGGAAGACTGTTTTCTTATCCAGATACTCAAAGATACAGATTAGGACCCAACTTTCTTCAAATTCCTGTCAACTGTCCGCTTAACGTCCGAAATTATCAGCGAGACGGTCCAATGTCTTACAATAATCAGGGAAATAATACGGTTTATCATCCGAATTCAGTAGATTCGTTAAACGTCAGTCAAAGGGCAGCAGCATTAAGTCCACCGTACTCC